ACTTTTTTCTTTAACCCAATCATCTTGTAGATATTCACTTTGATGTATGCCTGTGGACTGAATGAATTTTTAAAACCAATGTGAATAAAGTTCTTGATATCAGATTGTGTTTTATTTTTTGTAATTACTGGGGGTGGTAAAACCCTAGACTTAAACAAAAAACTTAATGATAGAACTTTTAGCTAGAACATGTGAATATTGTCAGGCATATGAATAAGCAAAACTTAAAATAAAGCACAAATCAAGACCAATTTTTTTTCTTTCTTTTTCATTTATTCTTTTAAACAAATTGCGGTAGATTTACAAGTATAATGCCAAAATACATTTTTTTTTTTTTGTTTTGTTTTGTTTCTGATGACCCCAAAATATGATTGTGTTTGGCACAATTCTAACTTGTTCACACTTTGAAAAGGTATTCATCCAGATAACTTGTGTCACACTGAAGGATTGTAATAAGAGTCCAACAAGAAGCTAGCACCACTTGCTGCTCTTGACCTTGTCTATGTGATGAAAAATGATGGGGAGTAGCAGGCAGGAGAATGGTTAGGGCAGAGAGAAAGAGATAGATCTCAGTGGAAACAGGCACTCACACATGCACACAGTAGAGAGGTCAAACAAAAGTTTGTCTCTTGTTTTAAAAACCTTGGTTTTCAAATTCTGGCCACATCTCATTACCATTGGAAGAGAAGTCAGAGAGAAAATGACTTGCTCTTAAAGTACAGCTTCCTAACTTTGGATATAGCAACAATAACAATAGTGATCAGATGGAAGGCCAGTGCAATTGTTAAAATTACTTTAGCTGTTGCTAAATAGTTGTCAGAGAATAAGTTGTATTCAACCATTCAGATGCCAAGGTAAACAGCCTGCTCACCAATCCATTATCCCACTTTACAGCAGCTGCAAACAACATTAAGCAGTCAACAATGAATGCACACTGCATTGAATATACTACCCATTCTCTAGGTCAAACTAGTAGGCATCAACAGTGGACAAGACAATAATTTGGAAGTGTCACTTGCATAAGGCAAACCTGAGCTAGACTCTAAGAGTGGAGTTATCACTGAATTTGCACAGAGAACAGTGCTTGATGATACACTAATTCTATGTCTTCAAGTCCCCAACCAATTGCCTTTAAATTCCTCTTCAATATATGAGAATATGAATTGATGCCCACCAGACAGATGTAAACATATATACAACAAAATCATCTTGGGGTTGTGTGTATATGTGTGTGCATACATAGATTCAGAAAAGTGTTTGTGTTGTTTTTTTTTTTTTTTTTCTTCTCCCTTGTCTCATCTGCATGTAGAGTTTTAGCTAGTGCCTGAGAAGACTAAAGATGTGGAAGGTGGGAACTATATGCACTGATTAAGGCCAAACCTCACCCTAGCAACACCATCAATAAAAAAAATAATCTGGAATGTCAACCTAAAAAGGCCACAAATTCACACAATGGTACTACTAGCAATTATAAGAAAGTAGTAACTTTCCAGAAAATTTGGCAAGATGACAATTAAGAAGTACAAAAGAAGCAAGGAAGTAGAAACAGAAGGAAGCTTAAGCAAAATTTTCATCTTTATTGTCATCATGTGAATGTAGACTGGGCTACTGAGTGTTTCTACATACATCTTCATGCAGTGGGGTGGGGGGAATATGTTCAAATGCATACTAACATAGAAACATAGGATTTGTGAACTGATGTAATGTAGCTAACAGCCAGAGCAGGTGAAGAGTCTACAAAATTAAATTCTGCTCTTAAATCAAATAAATGAGTTTGATTGATCACAGTAGGAGGTGGGCAGGCTATAAAATCAACTGGCTGCTCTTATCCCGTTTATAAATTACAAATAGCAAATCTCGACCAAAATAACATTCCCAAGACTCATTATTCTGCAAAGTCAGTCAACCAAAATCAGTGTGAGGCGGTGATGGCAGCATTCTTCAGAAATCTTTACATAGAATTTATATACACAAGTGGTGAGCTGTGTATAATGAAAGGTTAATGAAGGCACTCCTCCTCCTCCTCCTGAGCTCAGACAGGATGAAAATGATATTAAGAGGAAAGTCATGACACAATTTGCTTATCCCACTTGTAATAGCCTTTAGAAAGAAGGAGGATAAAAAAAAAAAAAAAAGAAAATCTCCAAATAATGCAAACCAAGACTATGAACCAAAGAGGGGAGGGATCAAATTAGATAGAAGAAACCATTCTGGTATATACAGCCATTAGATGTTTTAATTTGTTTTATTTTTCTGAGTCTTATTAATTTGTTCAGCTGACACTGCAAAAAGATTTTATTAGTAAAATATTAGTAGCATATATCTCAATAAGTTCTCAAATGAAAGATACAAAAATTATATTCTGTGTGCTTTACAAGATAATTCATTAGCACTTGTGCATTCTGCATAAGAGTTGACTAGATTGTTAGAAGGACAAAGAGGGCAACCTTATGAATACATTAGTAAAATAGAAAGGCATTTAATGAGTGGGGAAACATTTTACTTGATCTAACACTATTAAGTTATGTATAATAAATATTTAAGCACTTGATGTGAAAAAGAAAAAAGCTGAGATTATAAAAGTGAATCAGTTTAGTGAAAATAGTTTAAAAACAAAAGCTACAGTGAAGTGTCAAAACCAGCCACATTGTAACCATCACCAACATGTAAGATATTTCAGTGGATCAACAAATTCATTAACATTGGTATTTTTTTTGCATACAACTCAATACTTCAAGCAGCAGGATTTACAAGAGGCATTTAAATATCAGATTGGAATAAAAATTACAATGCAGTCATACTATAGTTTACTGATAATGTGCATATATTAAGCCACATATTATAAGAGATTATAGTTAATAATAGCAGGTATACTGCACTTAATTCTTATTTGCGTTGGTCAACACAAATATCTGTTATATCAGAAATTGATGGATTAAACAGAAAATGGAAATAACCTAAAGTCATACTGTCTTTGACAATCTACTTAATATTGTGAATAATCTGCAACTATCCATAAACATTTAAGCACAGTACAGCATGAAAACTTAGAATAAGAAAAAGCAGACAAATTATTTTAATTGCAAGTCAGACAAGCAAAAAATAAAATAAACAATGCAATTAGAATTAACAACATTTAACCCTATTATTTTAAATTGATTCTGAAATGTTGCATTCAAATTAATTTTAAGCATAAATTTCTACTTGAATTAGCTCATACATTAACTATTATTGATACAGCAAAGAATTTTTTTATTTTAAAAAGGTTCTATATATGAAGTACATTGATTTGAAATTTAAATTTCAACAGAAACACAATTAAAAAAATTAAAATTTTCTGTATTAAACATCCATCTATTATTAATTTCTGCAATTATTCCATTTTGGTGATGAAGAGAGGATGTTAATTCACTGTATTGGATATTAACACAAGTCAATGGGAGGGTGTAGAGTTAAAGAACAAAATACCAAATAGCTGCTGCTATTACAAATAGGAAGCAACATGGTGGGTGGGTCTGCAAAGGTCAAGATTTGTTACTTGATAAAAACTAAAATCTCTGACATTTCTCTCAGAAATTAGCTTATTTAAGAAGAAATGGCTAAACTTCATCTTTGGTACACTAGTCCTTAGAAATATTAGAAATTTACAAAAAATAAAAAAATAAATAACTTATTTATAAAATTGCATTAATCCTTCACAAATCACTTGTTCCAGGAGGTAAAATTTGATTTGCACAGTACCTTCATAAATCTCTCATGAGTGGCCCACATGACTATAATTACAAACTGTATTTCACTAAAATTAAGACAAGGCCCAGAAATGTACCTCCTCCTCCCTGATTTCTTTTAGAGACAGACACAACCCAGTGGTTAAGAGGAGGACTGATGGTAGTGGCAATGGTGGTAAAGGTGGTAATGGTGGTGTGGGCTTATGCCAGAAACGGTGGCAGCAGTTAGAATAATCAATCATCAATTCAGTCATCACCATCATCATCATTGTTATTATTGCAATAAAAAGGGTTTTGGAAAATAAAAATACACTGGGGATTTCTCTGTTACAAGTTATCACAAAAATGTACAGTGATGACAGCTCTAACTGTCCTGTTTTGTCTTTTTGTATTTATATCATCTGAAAATAAAAAGCACCAGAATTTTTAAAAAGCTCAAAGAATCTATGATTTGGTGATGTATTTCCAGAACCCCCACCATTTTTTTTTTTTTTTTTATTTTTTTTTTATAAAAACATTTGGGCTTGGGAAAGAGATAAGGGGAAGTTGGAGAACAAACCATTTCTAGATAAATGATAATTCTCCAGTTTCCTTTGTCATCATCTCTGGGAAGAAAGAAAAAAAAAAAAAAAAGGTGGGGGTTGCTGGAGAGAAAAGAAGATTTCTACATAGTTAAACCATTTCATAAGATGCAAGGAGGAGCCCCTGCCATACTCCTGACAGCCAGCTGGCAGCAGCACCAGACTGGGCAGGGGCTGAGTTCACTGGCAGCAGACAACAGGCAAATGGGCAACACAGTACCCCAGCACCTCTTTGTAGACAAGGAGCAGGAAGATGGCAACTATAATGATGATGACATATGGGGGGTGGGGTTTAAGAGTAGGAGCTGGGATATTAAGAAATAATTTAAAGAGAACAAAACAAAACCAGGGTAAAAGAAGATTTCAACTGAAGCCAGCAGCCATTGAGGTTTAATGGTAGTGGAAGATAAAAAAAAAAAAAAAATGAAATAAAAAAAAATCAAAAAAAAAAAAAAAAATCTCCCTTTTTCTTCTCATAGATGTCCTGCTTCTTCAGCACAAGTTAGTGGTTGTTACTGGTTTAAACTGGCAGTACCACAATACCACTGGCCATCTATATATTGTGCACAGGTCAGTCAGTTAGTTGGTCAGTGGGGAGGGGACTGGTTGTAAGGCAAGTTAAGAATTGCTGCTGCTGCTGCCCTGGACAACATTCAGGACCAAGTGAAAAAAAAAAAAAAAAAAAAAAAATTCAAATGGGTCCATTTTTCATAGATGCTGTTATAGCTTTTTCATACTTTTCCATAGCTTCTTTTGCTTGAGACCTGAAAAGAAAAAGGAAAATGTTAACCAGTATGGACAATATTCAGTCAAAAAGAGTTTAGATCAATAAACATCACTCAATAGATATTTGGTTATTATATATACATCTTGCTAGTTATCTATATACAACAAAGAGAATATCAGATTTTATATTCCATTTTCTGAAAAACTGAAGAAATTGATTCCACATTTTTATTTCAAGTATTACCCAGCTAACCATTCTGACAAATTGATGATCCAGTTTCTTTTGTTTAACGATTAGCAACTTAATTGCAGCCTTAGAGGGTTTATTTTCTCTTGCCAAATTTTCTTTTAAACCTTTTCCAGTATATAGCCTAGTTTATTAAAACTAGTTCAAATCATGGCATTTTTTTTTTATTTATTAAAGACCAATTCTTGGTACAACTGGAGATGAGAACTGGAGGCCTATTTCAAATATTGTCATTTCATTAACAGCAATGATTTTTAGCTTCAGTTTGAGTTAGCAGTAGTTTTTTTTGGTTGTAGACAACTGAAGGATTAAAAAGAATAATAGATTAAGAACAATTGATTTGGTTCCAAAAAACACTCCTCTTCATCTTGGCATCTTTTTTTCTTTTCTAATGTCATATTACAATATATAATTTGACATTTTTGGATCTATCAACCTCCACTCCACACAAAATGTTATAGGCATGTTAATCTTTGAATTAAATATTCACCTTAAAACTGTTTTAATGAAACAAAAACCATATTGGAACTATGGATTATGGAACAAAAACATGAAAGTACATTTTTTAAAAATTTTATTTAGAAATGAAGTAACTATGCAATGCTATTTTGTCATAAATACTTTAAGATTAGTGAAGTAGCTAGAAAAAAATTAACTCTTAAAAATGTGTGATTTAGCAGCTGTGTTAGGGTTTACATTTTGTACAACTTGTTTACTATATCTAAAAATAGATTAAAATTATTGAATTATGACATTAACTTTACATCATGTTATGCTGAAAAACAACCTAAGATGAAAAAAGCCCCTAACTTAATTTTTTTATTAAGTTTGGGGCTTTTTTCAATGTTTTATCATCAAAATGTTTATGTTATTAAGAGGAAAGAAAAATCTTGTTTTTTTTTTTTTAATGTCCCTGTTGACGTAATAATTATGATTAGGGTTTTTGTGTTTTTTTTTCTGGAGAAAAATACATTGATTTGGAAATTCTTGCAAAAGTCAAATAATTGTCGGATTTTAATGAAACTTTCAGGACTTATTCACAAATGAATGAAATTTTTTGTTTTAGAAAATCTTAGCAAATTTTTTTTTTTTTTTATAACATATGTTACCTGCCTCCTTCATGAAATTTTGAGAAATTAAATTTTCTTTCCAAAATTTTTTTTCTTCAAGCTATTGCCGTTTTTGCAAAAAATCTGCTCTGAATCATAAACTAAACTAAAAAATGCAATGAAAGTATGACATTATTTAATTAAAAAAACTTAATTGCTTTTATCTTTAAGATACATTAAGGACTCTATTGTCATAAGAAAAAACTTTTTTGACAAATAATGTATTTTTAAAAGATCTGTTTTCATTTTTTGAAGTTTTATTTATAATAATTTAAAAATCATTTAAAATTTTGCATTACTTTCTTTTAGGTGATATTGTAATTAAGTGGAAACTATATTTACAAATCAAAAATTTTAAAGCTAAGCTTTAATAAGTCATTTTGCATTAAAATTTTTAAAATAATTTTTTGTTTTTAGTTGAAACATTTCCATCTTTACATATGTATGGTAGTCTGTACATGATATTATTATGAAAAGGTCACATGCTATAAGAGTTGTCCTCCCTTTACTGAGAAATTTGCTTGTCTGCATTTTTTTTTTTTTAATTCATTTTGTGTTTATGTCTCAACAGGTTTTGCACAACATCCCTTCAAAGTTTTAAAAACTTTAAAATTTAAGGTTTTACTTTTTTAAAATTTCTATTTCACTAAATATTTTTATTTTATGTATTTATTTTAGCGTGGTTTATACTTCAATTGAGTAATTTTTAAAAAACTTTTTTTTAAGAAGAAATATTTTTTTTTTGTTAGTAGTTTTTTTTTTTTTTAGTGTTTTGAATTTTGACCTTGGGGCTGGTCAAATTCATATTTCCTCAAAAGTAGAATATCTATCTCACCAGTGGATATAGACGAGACGTCTGGAAATTAAAGTGTGTCATGGTCACGTGTGAGTTGATTGGCAGTTGCCAAGCACCCCCACTGAAACGGTCAAGTTATTAATAGTAATAAGCTGGCAAACAGCTTGACAACAAACGGCCGTTATAAGGGCAGAATGCTGATTGGTCGATGCTCTCGTATGGTGCGAAATGGCAGGAAGTTCGAGATCACAAGGAGAAATTTATTGTTAGTTGGCTGAAAATTCTAGCTGGAAAAAGACATGCCTGTTTTTTGGCGAATAATGTAAGCTAACACCCCAAGCCAACTCATGTGGGGAGCTTACAAAAACAGTCAGAAAGATATAAGAAACTATGGCACTTTTGTTTCTTAACTGACGGTGAAAACAAAATCTGAATGGAACACATCGAAGGAAGAAATCCTGAGAAGTTTGAATCAGATCACAAGGAAGGAAGAATATGGCTCGTTAAACCAGAATTAAATGTTTGCAAAAAACTGAAAGAACAAAAATGAGTTTAATGATAAGCATAGAAGATATACGAAAAAAGGAAAAGAAAAAAAATCTCCCCCAGACATGCATTGCTACACTTGAAATTGATGAACGGAAAACATGAGAATATGAAAGACGAGGAAGCCGACCTCAGTAACCTATTTCGTTCTCAATGTATATGACAAGTTATGAAATAAGGAATAACAAGATAAGCGTGCAATAAAAAAAAAAAAAAAATTTTGAGAGAAAGAACTTTGCATCAAAAAGAATTAATTGTCCAAGAAACAGTGATATCATGAGAGAAAAGAAAAAAAGAAAAAAAAAAAGAGAAACTTTTATTTTCCTTTTCACCCAGCCCGTAGAATGCACACACAAACATTTTAAAGAAAATTTCATCACACACATTTTTCCAGACAAAAATTAGGTGAATTACCCCAATTTGTTGAGATATGAACATTTTGTTCTTTTATGCTCAGTCAATTTTATTTCTGCTTAGTTGTTTTTTTGGCAGGGGTTTATACATTTAATCGCGCGTTTGGTTGCTCGAAGGTTCTGTGTCGCATCTTCCCCTGCTTGCTTGTGGTGGAGTGACATCCCATAAAATTGTCCAACCCGATATCAGCAATTTACTTGCCGTTGTCCAGGCGGTGGGTATAAATATAAGGGTTGTAACTTAATACTTGTCATCTTGCCAGGAGCGAGCCCCAGAGAGGTTTTGTGACAATAGTATTTTAAATTTTTCAGAATGCATCTTCAAATGTAAGGCTATAACACTATAGTAACTAAAAGGCAATAAAATATTAGATAATTGCTGAAAATATGTTTATAAATAAAATAATAGAAAAAAAAAAAGTGTTCACTTAGATTTTGTAAATTTATGTCAATTCTGGTCATCCGTACTTAGCTGTCTACACCTTAGTCTGTCAATAACATCAATCAGCACGTCAGAAAAACAGGACTCTTGGTTATATCTGTTTTTTATGCTATAAGTAATATTTAATGTTTGAAATCAGATTAATTATACTTTAAATCAGCTAATATTCCTCAGTTAAAGTTTCAGAAAAGTACATTTTATTTTTGGAAGTTTTTTAAAAACGAGAATAGCTTTTGTTTACAAAGGTGTCAAAAATGGCCAGTATTTATCAATTTTCTGAAAGAGAGCAAAAAAAAAAAAATTGACATTACAATCTATATAATTTCTAGTTGAAATACACCAGAGTATTTTGTTTACTGAAAATAGTAAATTTAATCATTTAACTTTCAATTAAAGCTAAAATTCACTTTAAAAAATTCATTTTAAACCTTAGTTATCAAAATTTCAGTGGAGGTTTTTCTCTAAATTTGTAGTATGATAATATTGCATTTGCTCCTATTTTATATTTTTTAATGGAAATTACAGTAAAATTTAGTATGCTTAAAAAAAAAAAAAAAAAAAAGTAATAAAAGACATATAGCAGAGTAACACAAATTGGGTTTTATTCAGCAGAATAAAACAGTACAAGCAAAAACTATTTATAAGCAGGCACAGTCCATTTTTAACAATAGGTGGGTTGAAGGAATGTTCTCCACAATCTCCCCCTGCTTCTAGAAATAATTAGTGGCAGTTAGTCAATCGATATTAAGGAAAGGTTATATCCTAACCAGATTTATTTCATTTTCTAAGCAATTCTTTTATAACCTTATTTGATTTAAGGAAATCAGCAAAGATTTACTCATAAATTAAGCGGTCAGGAGGTCTACGCGATTGCTCTGATCAACGTAAAGGAATTTCAATTTCATTTTTTGGTGTATCAATACTAGATTTAGTCTTTTCGGAATCTAAGGTCTCAAAGTTTTGAGTGGGTAAGTCAGAGTCTTGTATTTCAGGAGAACAGTTTTGAATGAGACCAGCAGGGGTAAGATCTTGTTGTAATGGAATGTCCCACACTCCCTGTCGCCTATGTGAACTGATTATATCAGTAGCTATATATGGTAAGCACAGGATATACCTGGGGGCTTGCTTCGGGAATTACTAGCCTGCCACCAGATTCTGTCTTTCAATAGTGTATTGTCTTTTACAATAAACCTCTTTTTTTCATCTACTCGCATGTTGCTGTTCGTTCACTAGAGTACCACCTTTGTCTGTTTGTAACCTCTTTAAGGATACAACAGTGACAATGCCACATTTGATTCAAACTCATAGCGAGAAAGACCCCAAAACACTGTAAAATGTACAGCAGTAGTAATTACGAATTTGAACAACTTAGGTTGAAAATACTCAATGAAATTACACAATAAAAATGGAACAACTGACTGAATTGACTAAAGTATTACATGCTAGTTTGCAGTTGCAGCAGTAACAATTACAGCAACAGTTGTTGCAGAAACAAGAATTTTTGTCAGGAATTTTCAATGAAAGAGACAGTTTGTTTCATACTTGATACAAATGTTTAAACATTGTAAAACAAGAGAATGAAGACTGTGACTTATGCAGGCAATGCAAATTCACAATGTGAATTGTTTAAATTAGGTGACCTTTCAGTCAACATGTTTAAATGTTTAATCTTCATCCCGGGACTTACAGCAGAGAAGGACAAAGACATCAGATCAAGGATTCTGACAATTATGGAGCAAGACCCTCAAATTATGCTACAGAAGGTGACTGAGGAATATAATAATAAGTGTAAAAAGAGACAATATGCAGATCAAAGAAATGCACATTTCAAGTCCACACGATAAAACAACCAAAATTTACAAAATATAAGGTGAAAACATCCCAGTGTGATGCCTGGGTGTTTCATTTAAAAAAAGGACCGTTTTTTGCTTCAAGTGTGGCTATGTTTGTCACAAAAGCTCCCACTGTTGCTATAGACAGAAAAAGAAAGAAGCAAAAATTTAAATGGAAAGTAAATGTTTTATCCAAGAACGAAATTGAAAATGGCGGGGAAAAAAAAAAAGGAAATACGTAAATAGGAAAATAAATGGTCATACAATGAAGTTATTGTTGGATACTGGAAGTGATATTTCTATTGTGAATGAACAAACATGGAAGAAAATAGGTTGTCCATCATTGAGGAGTACCAAAACAAAATAGCTAGAGGAGTATCTGGTAAAAAGCTAAACTTTAGAGGCGAATTTAATTGCAACATATCATTTATGAAGAAGACTATGTTCCTCCAGATACAATGAATTTATTTGGTACAGATTGGATTGTGCATTTCGATTTATGGGAATTATCTATAAATTCATTTTGCAACAAAGTGGATGTGCCAGTAAAGGAAAAAATCTGAAAAAACAGAAAAATTTATTTCTGATCTGAAAAACGAATTTCCAGACATGTTTTCTGAAGGTCTCGGACAATGCACAAAAACTGAGGTCCAGTTCAAACTTAGAGACAACATAAGACCAGTATTCAGACCAAAAAGGAATGTACCATTTTCAGCTTTGGATTCAGTAAATCAAGAACTGGAATGTTTAGAGAAAAGGAGTGTAATTTCTAAAGTTGACTACTCAGATTGGGCTGCATCTACAGTCTAAGTAAGGAAAAAGAACAAAAAGATTTGAGTATGTGCAGATTTTTCATCCAGATTAAATGACTGCTTGAAAGACCACACATACCCTTTACTTTCACTGGAAAATATTTTTTAAGCTAAATAGTGGCAAAGTGTTTTTTAAAATAGATCTGTCTGGTGCATATCTACAACTGAAAGTAGAGAAAGAGTGCTCAAAGTTATTAGCAATTAATAGGCACAAGGGACTCTACAAGCTAAATCGTCTCCCGTTTGGGTTAAAAGTGGCTCCCAGTTTGTTTCAGAAAATAATGGACACCATGTTAGCTGGAATAGAAATTGCCATAGCGTACCTAGATGATATCCTGCTAAAGAGCAAAAACAGCAAACAGCACAAAAAACATATCAAGGCAGTGTTCCAGAAGATTGACAAATATGGCTTCAAGCTCAGATAAATGCAAGTTCTTCAAGAAGTAGGTCAAATATTTCGGGCAAATAAAAAGCTGTCTGGTATCAGATTTATTGTTACCGCATTTTGACCCTAAAAAAGAAATAATTGTAGCATCTGATACTAGCAACTATGGGATTGGAGCAGTAATTCTCCAAAAGTTTGAAGATGGGACTACAAAACCCAGAACCCCGCTTTCTGCAGAAAGAAATTATAGCCAGATCAAGAAAGAAAGCCTGGCCACCTTTGGATTTTATCATTTTTTTTATTTTCTCAGCCTGTTTTGAATCAAACATAAATGCCACTGATTTCTGATAAGTCAGTAAAGTGGAAAAGTATTTATGATTGTGCTGAATAAATTGTAATAAAAGACATGGAGTAGAGTAATCCAAATTAAGTTTTATTCAGCACAATAGAACAGTTAGTACAAACAGAAGATGCACAGTCCATTTTTAATGATATGCTCTGGATTCAGTAAATCAAGAACTGGAATGTTTAGAGAAAAGGAGTGTAATTTCTAAAGTTGACTACTCAGATTGGGCTGCATCTACAGTCTAAGTAAAGAATATTACTTTATTTGAATCAATGTAGAAGGTATATGATTTTGTACCTACCTGACATCTTCAATCAAATTGGCTTTAGATGATGGATTGCTATTGTCTGTGCTGGAAGTAGATTTGTCATTATTGGCATCACCGGCTGCAGTTGCTGGTTGAAATTTATTTTCCGCATCTGCAGAAGCTCCCACTGACTCTCCTCCAGCAGCTGCAGTTGGAGCTATGCTGTTAGTCACAGCAGCAGCAGCAGAATCAGAAGTTGAAGCTGCAATTGAAGAGCTGGCTGCAGAAGTAGTAATAGCCGTCATGCATGTTGAGGTGGTTTGGGCAGTGGTTGAGGCAGTGGTTGGAGTAGCTGCAGCTGGTTCTTCAGTAACTCCAGGCTTGATAAGGCCAACAGACGACAAGAAACTGTGAGGGGAGGGGGAGAAGGAAAAAGTCAGTCAAATTAATTTTATATAACCTATTGAAACCATGAAATAAGAAATATAAATTTATTTGATCAAGAAACAAAACAGCTGTGGAGTATTAATTTTTCTGTATAGGATTGAAACAAACAGTAAATTGTCTTTTCAAATTTTCCTTGATTGATTTCTATTTATGAGGGAGGTGCTGAGAACTAAGCCCAATTTACTTCCCAAAATCTGACCAAATGACCATGCATCAGAATTTATTTTGGGAGTACATAGTTGAGTTGAGAACATTTCAGCATCTCCTCAGCATAATGCATTTGACAGCATTTAAAGGAGACAAAATAGCTAATACCTGCTTTATATTTACAGAGATTGAAAAACTAGCTTTTTTCCCCTTAAATCTAACTTGCAAAAGAAAATATTTTACTGCTACACTGGAAAAGGAGAAGACAAATTAGATATTTGAAATCAATCCAGTAAAATGGAATATTGAAGTTTGTGATAAATACACCATTATTAGCATTTTTTTAAAGATATAACTGCTTTTTAAAATGTGAGTGTGTATGTTTATATATATTTACCATAGACTTAAAAATGTATTTGAATTCAGAGCAACCACTTACCTTATTTGGAATCTTATGTGCAATACTTAGGAAAAACATAACTGAACTTAAAATCAAAATTTCCAGAATATCATAAAGCTTTTATACAATTGGATGCATTAGAGACTATTGCAAAAAAGAAAAAATGTCACTTAATATGTTGTTAAACATATCAACCATTCCATTTTTCAAATCTTACACTCAAAAAGTATATCTCCAATCAAGTAGTGTAAATACTTGATATTCATTAAGAGTGAATCAAACTGCTGAATTGTGTTTCACAAATTTTATCAATTATACTTTTGTATTGTTTTATGCCTGAAAATGTTAACTAGTACTGATATATTTTCTCTTATAGTAGAATCACAAACTAAGTCGAGTATGACAGTATTATCTATAGTAATGTAAAAACCAAGTGATTTGAAAGCTCTTAAAATGAATATTTTTATAATCTATAGTTAATGTTGTTGTTTATTATAAAAACAGCTGTTATTTCACTTAGCATTAATCAGGAATTTAATTTTACAAAAAAAGATTTCCATAGTATGTTGCCATTTCTGTTTTTATAAACCAACTTCATATCCAACATTCACTAATATAAAGAAAATATCAACATTTCAAATCAAAACTACTGAGCAACTAACAATTGCTGTAATAACTTCAGTTTTTATTTGAATCTTGCTATATTAACTGACAAAATTTTTGTCTTTCGATTGAGACATAGAACTGAAATGACAAATCATAAATACACATACATTGTAAAACATATTTAGGAATTTGTTTAGACATTTAAAAAAAAAAAAAATTAATATTATTAATTTCAAACATTTACAATATATCTGCAATTAAAATTAAAAAGTTATAAGATTGTTTATATTATCAACTTCGGACACAAATTTTGGGATGCTTAGTGCAAGCAATATCTCGTTAAAAAAGATTCAAGAGTGATGATAGGCAAGCAAAAGGATGACTTTGCAATGTGAAACAAACAACATAAGGGTAAACATGCAGAGTCAGGTTAAATTCAAGATTTATCCACCAAGTCCTTTCAATATTTGCCAAGCTTTTTCAATATTCGAATAACTGAATTTGTGAACAAATATCCAAAAAACTTAAAACCTGACTCTTACAATGAAATATCAACAAGAAAATTAATTCTGACTAAACATTTAAAAGTAATTTCAGCATCAAATATTCTATGAACCAAATTCAGATTTATAACTGTATTTAAGTAATAATACTATGCAAATTAAGATAAAAATAGGAACATTTTTATAAACCAACCAGTAAGCTCAAGAATCAGTTTTATATTAGCAGAGATTTTCTTATTAAAGAATGAAAAATAGATGCACTAGTGACAAGCCGACTGTACTTATTATAGAAGCAAATCAATTTCAAAGTTTGTGTACCACATTAAGAATTCTCTTTATATTGTTAAATTATACATAAATATAAAATAATCTATATGTTGCAATGAGGAAAGAGAAATTCATTTAGCAACTGATTCTGAACAATATCAAATTACAAAAGTCACAACATCATCTCTCGTACTGAGAACAATAGCAACAATAGCTATCATTGAAGATAGTTAACATTACAAGCAGAAACAAAATGAAAGTATAATGAAGCCTGGGAAGTTCACTTTTCCTACAAGCATGCATACCTACATTGTCTTAAAAGAACCCAGATGGAAAAATATACAAGAGAAAAACTTTATTTTAATAAATATATATAAAAAAGCAGATAAAAAGAATCTTAAATTAGGACTTGCAAGATAAAAAGCAGTATAAAAAAGATAGACAAAAAGGTATCACTAATTATTACATCAATACAACATTAGGTGCAGAGGTTGGCCCAAACAGTATTGATGTTATGTGCTAAAAAGGAATTATATATAAACACACACAACCCTTGAGGAGCAAATTTTACTGTAGTCTGAGCACATAAGGAAAGAAACTTTTGTCATGTATACATACGGATAAATATCCATGTATCACACACACACACACACACACACACTTTGAAAATTAACAAGTGCTTGATGTTTTGTCTTATCTATGGTGTCAGTCGTAGTGTCATTAGTTTCATGTACAGAATACCATGCCTTATCTAATATTAAGAGGAACATTTTAAGTGCTTATAAATAGTGACACTATATCCTAGTAATGAAATTAGTAATTTTTCTTTTAATATTTCTACATAGTTATTAACAAAGAATTTTTTGTAATAGTATCTGAGGCCTCACCTTTCATATATGGAAGTAAACTGTGTGATTATAGTACTTGCTTATAATTTATGATGAATTGAGAAAGAGAAAAAAATTAATGATCTACAATTTTAGACTGAATAGAACATTTTCTCAAGGAGTAGTAAAAATTATCCTTTTCACCTTATATAAAAATTAAAAAAGCAAACTTGTATATAAAAAATTTAATACTTATTTCTGCTTTCCCTCATGAGTTGTCAAATTTATTTCTTATAAAAAGTGTATGTGGGGGGGGGAGAGAACAAGGCATTATCACAAAAGATATTTATGCTCTCTCGCCAGGTAACTGATGAAAAAATACATGGTGTTGTGGAGGTTGAGTTTTCTTCACTTCTTTGGAGAGGCACTAGAACAGACCCTGTTGACCTTAAAATTCACTGACTGTACTTGGTGGGTAGGTCAAACTGAATACTGGTGCTGCAAATGTCTGGGGCAAGGGACAAATTTATTAAACTTATTAAATTTGAGAAATAAGTGTCATAAAAATGATTCCCTGTGGACCGCATGTTTCAGACCCCTGTTCTACTTTACAAAAACATTGGATTTTAACATGTTTTCCCATTAATTAAATCCTGACAATGTTTTTTGTGGTCAGATTGCAAATTTTAGCCTTTGACTTTTTTGAAAGATTAGAAACCAATTAGATTGTTATAAATAAAATATTATATTAATTGATTTTGAATTGCTATACACTCACCAAAAGCAGCATCTGAAAAGGGATTATCGCTCTAAAGAGACACAATTTTGACAAGATCCAGGCATAATATGCTCAAATTACATGTACACCGAAACGTATTTCTCTCAAAGTTATTTAATATTCTAAAATTTAAATTTTCAACAGTTTACTGGAGACATCTGAAAATATTTTCTCATACTTCAGTTGTAAAACTAATTGATGGAAATGGTACAATTTTTTTTTTTTTAGCTACCCCTTTCCTATTTGTTTAAAGTGAAAGCTTAAAAATGAAAGTTATAAGGCCGTTTAAAATATAAACAATTTGTAAAGGAAGGGATGGATTTTTTTATTTATTAATCTGACAGATTTTTATTAAATGTTATTTTTAATGAACACTCATTTGATTAGAGGCTCCGTTTATTAAAAAGTATATTTATTTTCATTATTTATATTATTTGCTACTGTCCTCATCTTTGTCGTCATATTTATTACAATGTTTTGGCCATTGTACACTCTGGCCTTCTTCAGGTGGTTGGAATGTCGAACTGAACCCTTTATTTCGCAGATATCTCTCCCGAGTAAAACCCCCATAGAGGATAACATGAATAAAGACTAAGTGTATGCTATCCCATGCAGCTGCTGAAAGAAATATAAAGGGGAGACAGGCCACCCCCTTAAGGTAAGGCTTCAAGAACACCAGAAAGCTGTAACACGAGGGTAAGTGGAAAAATCAGGTGTGACTGACCACATATGGAGAGAGAAGGGAGATCACTGCCTTCTGTGGGATCAGGTTGAGATCATAGACAAAGAACACCATTGGAAGAATCAGCACATATGCTAGGCCACAAAAACCTCCTGAGCCGACCAAGCATAGAAATGAATACAATATAGGAACCAGTAATAAGGAGTGCCAGAGAAAAGCGATAATAACAAGAAAAAAAATTTCAATATGAGCTCTGGTAAAAACATGCAATGATAACAGCAAAAATTGCAATATGAGCATTGGTAAAAAAAATGGTTGCTGAAGACATTAGGTTTATAATACCCAGAAATTCATACACAGCTGTCCTCAAGGACACATGGCACAGTGGATAAAGGCGTTAGTTAGATCCAGTGACAGGACCCAAAGACTGTGAGTTCAATACCCGGTTGAGAACTTTCAGAGGGAAATTAACAGGAGATAACTGACATCCATTAAATGTGGACTAGAACAGTTTACCCCAGTGAGCAAAAAAAAAAAAAAAAAAAAAGAAAAAAAAAAAAGGGTTCAGTTTGACATTCCAACCACCTGAAGAAGGCCGGAGCGTAATAAATATGGCGACAAAAATGAGGACTAATGTAAATAATGTACATAATACCTCATCTCAAAAATATAGACCGATATATTTATTTTGTCTAATGGTATGAATATTCCAGAAATCTTATTGAAAAATATGTACAAGTTCAAATCCTGC